AAAGAAGATGCCAAGTCAAGTTCCTTTGAAACAGGGATTTTCAAACTTTGTGACCAAAGTCCTACAGTAAGAACTGCACTGACACCCCCCCCCCCACACACACATATCCTCTACTAAGCAAATGCTTATCTTATTCTCTGTGAGATACTGATAGTTCCAGCTAGGTGCTGGTGGTTTACACCTGTAATCCTAGATACCCAGGAGGCTGAGAACTGAGGATCGCAATTCAAACCCAGCCCAGGCACAAAAATCCATGATACCCTTATCTCCAACAATAAAGTCAGAAGTAGAGCTGTGGCTCAAGCGGTGGAGTACCATCCCTGCGCAAGGAAAAGCTAAAGGACAGCACCTGGGCCCTGAGTTCAAGCCCCAGTATTGACAGAAAAATAAAGGGGAAAAAGCCGGGTGCCAGTGGCTCACTCCTGTAATTCTAGCTACTCAGGAGGCTGAGATCTGAGGATCACAGTTTAAAGCCAGCCTGGGCAGGAAGAGCTGAGGGACAGTGCCCAGGCCCAGAGTTCAAGCCCCACGACCAACAAAAAATAAAAAAAATAAAAAATAAAGGGTGGAAAATAAAACCCCTTAAAACCTTGCCCGTTCTTATTCTATGCTGTGCTATGTCATTCTGAAAAATGCAAGACCCGATTCCCTAAACTCTTGTCCTCCTCATCTCCCAACTAAATGCATCGGCACGGCCAGCCTCATTTCTTTGGTTTAGAGCAGGTGGTCCCCTGTAACATCTGATCACAGGTAAGGCGGCATATGGAGTGTGTGTCTCAATTTGAGGGATAAGATGCAAGTTTCAACTTTCTCTTCTGGTTGAATAGCAAGTTTTGTACCTCCTGGCTTCCCCTGCCCCCCACTCCCCAGACTCCCAGATTCTGTCTTTGTTTTTGTGTTATTGTTGTTGTTGTTTGTTGGTGGTGGGGCTTGAACTCTGGGCCTGGGCACTGTCCCTCAGCTCTTCAGCTCAAGGCCAGCACTCTACCACTGGAGTCACAGCACCACTTCCAGTTTACTGGTGGTTTATTGGAGATAAGAGTTTCATGATCCTCAGATCTCAGCCTCCTGAGTAGCTAAGATTACAGGCATGAGCCACCAGTGCCCAGCTCCAGATTCCTGTCTTTTGACAAAGTAACCAGCCTCTCTCTACACAGATTTTGGGAATCAGCTCTCCTCCTACTCCAGGAAGCCTTCCACTGTGCTCAACTCTGTTGTCTTCCTGCCTCTTCCTTCCTGAGCCCCCTCTGTCTGTCTGCCTTGACCCCCCCTCCTCCCCCCCTCCCCAGCACTGTACCATAGCACAATTTTCTGTTAGATTCTCCACTCTTCCATTCCTTTCATTTCCAAGGGAGTGTGCTTCTGGCTACCTCATGATGGTACAGACAGATTTACTGAATGAATGAATAATAGCTTGTAGTAATAATAGCAGTGAGCCTTTATTGTGTGATCACATTAATCCCATGAGGAATGTTGAGCAACACATTGGGATAGGTCCACTTTACAAATGAGGAAAGAGGGCTCAGAGAAATAGAGTAACACCAGAAGGCAGGGTCATAACCCAGGGGCTGCCCAGCACCCTCCAGCCCCTGATCCCAGGATCTTATTTGTCCACATTCTTCTCAGTGCTACCACACACACACCCTCGCTAGGTCAGAGGGCAAGTCCTTAACACACCCTCAGGGGACTGGTGACAGGTTTATTAAAGAGACTTTCCGAAGCTGTGGCCACATCTAATTTTGGAGCTACACATCACGGGTGGCTTGGGCCAGAGAGTCTGGGAGGTTTCTAGGGCCTCTTGGGTATGGGGCCATGCCATTTGGGAGAAGTCGGGACCTCTGGTTCGCCAGAGCATCAGGTCTTCTGGTCACCTGGCCTCAAGAGCTGCTAGGCACACACACCTAGGGTCACACCTATGGTCTGCAAAGCCTGGGTGATGTGGCCACGCCCACAGTTCTAAGTTATCCTCCCACCCGTGCCCCAGACCCTTTGCATCACCATACTCTCTGCCTGAAAGTCTCTACCTTCCTCTTTAGGCCTCCGCATCTTTATGCAAATGCCACCCTCTTCCCTCTCAGTTATTTTTCTTTCCAAAACACAGGCAGCTTCTGCAAACTATACATGTGGTTGTTTTCTGGTTTCTTTCTGTCTTCTCCAATATACAGGCGCTCCTGGAGGGTCTCATCTTGCCCCCTGCTCCAGAACCTAGAACTTGCGGTAGGATGAATGGGGGTTTCTCCCTTTAAACGTTTCAGGAGATCAGCCCAGCAATACGTCCCTGTGCCTCCGATCCAGATCTTGGCCTACACCTGCTCCCCCAGGTTGAAGGGAGAGAAGAAGGAATGGGGCAATATTCAACACATGCCCAGCACGTACCACTTTGCACCTTACAAGCGCCTGAGGGAAACTGAGGCTTGGTCCCCGCGGTGTCCCCATGATTAACACAAGTGCCACCATACACATTTCACAGCACTGAATTGGAGCAAAGGGCTCAAGGCCACCAAATGAGGACGTGGGGAGCCAGAATTTGTCCATCGCTCTATTCAGTCCCAGCCAGTCCTATCTAGCTGTGCCTTATTGACATCTGGACACATCTAAGAGCAGGGCCTGGCCTGGACATGAACAGTCTGCACCTCCTTTAGTCTTGTCCATCCTTGCTTCCACTAGCTGACGCAAGGTGCCTAACATCCCAGCACTTCGGAGGCTGAGGAAGGAGGATCAAAAGTTTGAGGCCTGGATTCTTTAGCAGGAGTCTATTGAGAGAGAGAGAGAGAAAGGGAGGGAGGGAGGGAGGGAGGGAAGAAGGAAGGAAGGAAGGAAGGAAAGAAAGAAAGAAAGAAAGAAAGAAAGAAAGAAAGAAAGAAAGAAAGAAAGAAAGAAAGAAAGAAAAGAAGGAAGGAAGGAAGGGGCTGGGAAGGTGGCTCAGTGGTGGAGCGCTTGCCTTGCATGCATGAGGCCCTAGGTTCGATTCCTCAGCATTACATAAGCAGAAAAAGCCAGAAGTGGTGCTGTGGCTCAAGTGGTAGAGCGCTAGTCTTGAGCTGAAGAGCTGAGAGACAGTGCCCAGGCCCAGAGTTCAGGCCCCATGACCAACAAAGAAAGAAAGAAAAAAAGAAAGAGAGAGAGAGGAAGAAAAAGAAAAGAAAAAGTAGAAAATAAACATTTTCTATAAATACTGCAGGTTTTGCAGAACAACAGACAAAACTGATAATGTTATATAGGGCCTTACAATTAATTCATATGTCATGAAATATTATTCTTTTGACTTAAACAATTGAAGATGCAAAACCACTCTCAGTTCACAAGCTGCACAAAATAGGAAATAAACTACTTTTTTTTGGGGGGGGGGTGCTGGTCTTGGGTTTGAACTCAGAGCTTGAGTGCTATCCTTGAGCTTCTCTTGTTCAAGGCTAGTGCTCTACCACTTGAGCCACACCTCTACTTCCATCATTCTGTGCTTAATTAGAGCTAAGAGTCTCATGGCCTTTTCCTACCCAGGCTGGCTTCCAACCATGATCATCAGATCTCAGCCTCCTGAGTAGCTAGGATTGCTTACAGGTGTAAGCCATTGGTGCCTGGAAGTACTTTTGACCCTTGATTAAAACCAATACTTTTATTTGTCCTTCCTTCCTCCCCTCCCTCCTTCTCTCCCTTCTTTTCTTTTTCCCTTCCTTCTTAGGCTAGGTCTCACTATGTTGGTCAAGCCAGTCTTCAACTTCTGGACCCAACTGATCCTCCGGTCTCAGCTGAGACTATAGACATGTGCCACCATGGCAGTAAAAGCACTATTTGCAAATATTTAAGGCATGTAAAAATATTGCCTGATGATCTTATTAACAACAGTTCTCAGGACCTGTGCCCCAAGAGTGTGACTCAGAAAGTCTGGGTGGGACTACTGCATTTGCACTACCACCTGAGTAATGGCTGATTCCTCATGCTACCTACCACATTTTGCTCTAAAACCGTCCCCACTTTGTGGATGAAGAAACGGAGGCTCCAAGAAGGGCTGTGTCCCAAGTCCTACCCAGCAGAAGAGGCAATGGTACATACACTGTCAAATCCCAGGCCCATTTGCCACAGAAAACACCTCTATGTTTTCTTAATCCACAATCTTGCTCATGCTTCTGAGCCTCTGTACAAAGTCCTCCCTCTGTCCCGATGCTCCCCAGCTTCCCCTCACAAACAAGACTTTCCCACCAAAGGCGCAGCTCAGCCATCACCTCCTCTTAAGCCCTCCCGGTCTTCTTCAACCCTAAATGCTTTGGTCTGCCTCTGCTCTCTCCACCCATCTGTCTGGTGTATGGGTCTGCTTTTTCTCCCTTTGAAGCCAGAGACTGGCTGAATATCTCACTCCGTGGGAAGCCTGGCAAATTGGAAGAGGCCTCATTGAAATATTCATGGAATGGAAGAATGCCTGGTGCACAGGTAGCTGCCTGGGTAGGCTGGTGGGTAAATGAGGGGATGGGCGGGTGGATGAGTGGATAGATGGATAGGCTAGTGCATGGGTAAATAGGTGGATGGATGAGTGTGTGAGTGAATGGGTAGATGACAAGTGGGTGAGTGAGTGGGTGGGTGGATGGAGGGATGAATGAATGGATGGTGGATGGAGGGACCGATGGAGGGATGGATGAATGGATGTGTGAATGGGTGGGTGGATGGGTGAACAAACCCAAGCGCACCCTTCATGGTCTAATAATGCTTGGAGATAATTCTCATGGCCAAGTTGAGACCAGACCTGAAATCTGCTGGGGCACCTGAATATCTAGTCCACAGCAATGTCTGTAGCTAAGCCTGCAAATGCAAACAACTCCATTTTATTGAGCGTGTGCGGAGTGCCTTCATACAGCGGGCCGAGAGAACCCTTTTCTCTAGGACTAACCGCCCCAAGACGCAGGCTGAGAGGCGCAGAGGCCCCACAGCCAGTGCCCTGCGTCCCCAGGGCCTTTCCCACGGGGGGTCCCCACGGGGGAGGGGGAGCCCCGCGCCCCGCCCCGCCTCACCTCCGTCCGCATAGGTCTCCGTGCCATAGCCGTCCTGCAGGCCGTTGTTCCAGGTGCCCTCGTACTTGGCACCGCTGCTGGAGCTCTGCCGCGTGCCGTAGCGCCCCTTGAAGCCGTGCGTCCACTCGCCCTTGTAGAGCCAGCGCCCCTTGGTCTCTATGCCCAGCCCGTGCCTCTTGCCCTGGCTCCAGTAGCCCTCGAAGGTGTTCCCGCTGGGCCAGGTGTAGACGCCCGCCACTTCAAAGCCGAAGTTCCAGGAGCCCGAGTACTCGCCCTGGCCCTTGGGGCCGGTGCACAGGCCGTGGCCGTGCGCCTTGCCCCCCTCCCAGCCCCCGCAGTACGCCCCGCCATCGTCAAAGTCAAAGCGACCCCCGCTCATCGCATCCTCGCCCCCGTCCTCCAGCTTGGGGTGCAGGGTGGGGGTGCGGGGTCCCCGAGGCTCTGCAGGCCCCCAGACTCACCACCGCGCCCCAGGAGGGCAGAAGCCACAGGTCAGTGCAGGCAGACAGAGCCCGGCAGCCGGGCGGGCGCTGGGGGCGCTGGTGGGTGCCATGCCTGCCCCCCTCCCCTTTCCCAAGTCAGCCCCAGGAAGGCTGCACCTCCAAGTCCCCACCAAGCGTCCCGAGTCTGGCTGCCATGGGGCCCAAGTATGGAGGGAGGAAAAGTAAAACCCCAAACCCAGTATATGATCTCTCTTTGAGAAGCACAGTGAACTGGGTAGGGAAGGGGGGGGTCCTACAAAGTGGGGGAGGGCAGTCCCTGGCCCCAGACAAGCCGGATTCCTGCGCGGGGGCCCTTCTGCTGCACCCGGGTGGGTGTGGGTGTGCGGCTGTGATCGCCGCTGCCCCGCCCCTCCCCAGCCCTGCCCTCCCCCCCACACACAGAAAGGTCAGCGTTGCCCTAACAAGGCCATTGGATCTCAGAAGCTGCTCCCAAAATAACCCCCTGGCCAGCCCAGCCTCCTCCCGAGCGGGAGGGAGGGAGGGGTGTTTCAAGTCGAGCTGTGGCTGCAGACCCAGGCAGCTGGAGGGAGGGCCAAGGGCCCAGCGAGGAAGCTGGCCCCCGCCACGTGTGGGGCACCCTGCTCCACTCGGTACCTTGTCTTCCTACGGGTAAGTGCTTTCTCCTGCCTCCCAGGCCCCTGGGTCTGTAGGCAGAGGAAGCCAGGCAGGGAGGGGAGGGAAGACCAGCGGAATTCAAGAGCTTGGCACAATTCAGCCAGGGCCCCTGCCACCATTCACATCCCCCACCCCCAGCGGGGCAGGCAGACTCTGCCATCCCCCTGCCCCAAGGAGTCTGATGATCTAAAGCAACAGGAACGGGGAACAGGCCCACAGACACAGAGAGGTGGGGGGGGTTCTGGTGACAGAGTCTAGAAGGTACTGCAAAGGAGGGTCCACAGCTTGTGTACAGCTCCGGGTCCCCTTCCAGCCCAGGCCAAAAAAAAAAACAAACCATCAGTCCACTTCTACCACCCCACCCCTCCCCCACTCCACACCCCCACAACTACTTCCTCCTGAGAGGGGAGAGGCTGCCCTCCCCCATTCCAAAACAGAGGTGGGTCAGGTCCCAGTGAGGTACACTTGGAAATACTCAAAATTTCCCCCTCCAAACGGTCTTTTGTGCTGGTGTTACAAGGGCCCATGAGGGCAGACTTCTGAAGGCTCTTAGGGCAGGGTCAAGAGCCAAGGGCCTGGGTGCATTCCAGAACTCAGGTTCCCACCAAACTTCAGGAAGGAGAACAAATAAATCTCCATGAGAAGAAAGATGTTGCGGTCAGGGCTGATGTGTGTAAACCCAAGTGAACCCTGGAGTAACAGGAGCAGAGAATGAGACTATGAAGCTGTGTGTGTGTGTGTGTGTGTGTGCGTGCATGTGTACACACACATGTATGCACATTCACCCATGCACATGCATGGGCACTACAACATTAAATTGTCATCTAATGTCAAATGAATCTGACATTTGCAAATTCCATGATGACTCTGACAGTGATTGCAGGAGTTTTGTTCTTGTTTCAGAAATGGGTAGAAAATGTTCCCTTGCTAATGACCAGTTCCTAGGACTTATTTTCGTCATAGGTACAACCTGTGACCTTAAAAAGGGTCCTGCCAGCATTTAAATTCCACCACAGGGAGAAACATGGGCCTGGAAGCAAATAGCAGAGGACAAAGATGGTCATCTGGGCAGGTGGCTCACTCCTCACCAGGTGGCCCCATTGATAGCTTCAACTTAACTCTAAGAACAGATCCATACTGTGTCCAGGAATTCTGCTTTCCCACCTCCCAGAGGCCTTGCAGGATTGTGTGAGTGTCTTTCCAGGTCTGCTGTCAAGGAAAGAAGAAAGATGCATTACAAAGAGAAGGGGGCGTGAGTCGCCCCAGCCCATACCCTCCATAGTTAAGTGATGAATCTCTGTAATCCTGATCAGGGTAGATGTGTCCCAGGAATCTGTTCAGTCACACAAATGTTCACCCACTCCTGTGATGAGTGAACACACAAAAGAATCACCTACAAAAGGAGAAGACATAAACCAATTCCAGAGTCCTGCCCATACCTGCAGAATTAAATCTTCCTGGGAGAAGACTTAGGATGGACAAATCTGATCTTTCTCCCTTGTTCAAAATCACTACAAGCTGGGCACCAGTGGCTCATACCTGTAAACCCAGCTACTCAGGAAGTTTAGATCTGAGGATTAAGGTTCAAAGACAGCTGGGGCAAGAAAATACATGAGATTTTTTTTTCTCCAATTAACTGTCAAAAAAACCCTCCAAAAAACAGAAGTGGAGCTGTGGCTCAAGTGGTAGAGCATTAGCCTTGAGCAAAAAATGTTCAGGGACAGTGCCCAGGCCCTGAGGTCAAGTCCCAGAACTAGCACCAAAAAAATAAAAAAAATAGAAAAATCACAACAAGTTTTCAAATGACTAAGTAGTTTCTTAGTAACATTGTGAGTTCATGACTCTGTATGAAGTTGGTGGTTTGGGAATTAGATATATTCAGATCCCAGCTCCTCACCAGCTGAGTGACCTTGAGCCCATTATAATTTAATACCACAAGCTCTTTGTCCCTACACCAGAGGATTTTCTGAATCAAAGGTGATAGTTTTCTATCTTATTTGAGTGAGGAGTATACAAGTTTGTACTTTTTTGTAAAAAAAAAAAAAGCTTCAAATGCATGAAACTCCCAATACATGTTGCAGCTGTTACCACTATTTGTTTCATATATAAAAAGTGCTTCTCAACATCTAAAATAATATTTATTGAAATGAGTTCCAGGAAATGGAAACATAGGGTTTTTGTTATTGGTGGTGGTGGTGGTGTTTGTTTGTGGGGCTTGAACTCTAGGCCTGGGCGCTGTCCCTCAGCTCTTTAGCTTAAGGTGAGCACCCTACCACTTGAGCCACAGAGCCACTTCCGGTTTTCTGACGGTTTATTGGAGCTAAGAGTCTCATGGACTTTCCTGCCAGGACTGGCTTTGAACTGTGATCCTCAGATCTCAGCCTCCTGAGTAGCTAGGATTACAGGCATGAGCCACTGGCACCCAGCTTTGGGGTTTTTTCCTTTTTGGAGGGGGAGGGCAAAGGAGAGACAAAGAAAAGGAGGGAGGAAGGGTAAACAATTGCAATCATGGTATTATTCAGTATACACTATGTGAAAAATGACCTGTATAATCTGTGGGCAGGGATGGGAGGGGAAAACTGGGGAAAAGTGTTCAAAAAAAGAAATCATTTATTACCTGCCTTATGAAATGGTAACCCCTCTGTGCAACACTTTAATAATAATAAAATTATATCTTAAAAAATTGCTTCTTGGGGCTGGGAAGGTGGCTCAGTGGTAGAGGGCTTGCCTTGCAAGCCTTAGGCCCTGGGTTCGATTCCTCAGCACCACATAAGCAAAAAGAAAAAAAAAAGAAGTGGCGCTGTGGCTCAAGTGGTAGAGCGCTAGCCTTGAGCTGAAGAGCTGAGGGACAGCGCCCAGGCCCAGAGTTCAGGCCCCACGACCGGACCAAAAAATTAAAAAATAAAAAAAAATTGCTTCTTGAACCATTCTCCAAAGAGGACTAAATATGAAATACCTTCACATTAAACACTCCTCTTCCCAACATAGTTCACCCAACATTGCCTTATGGTTGTTCATTTTATTAACAGATAAATCATGTCATTAGCAAAAGGACACCTTGATTTTGTCAAAATGTAGGCAAAATTCATATAGACAAATTTGGCACTGGCCTTACCTGCCCAGTGCTGAGCTTCCTGGCAAAGCCTTTAGTTCTCCGCTTTCAAGGGAAGGGCGACCTCTGGTGGCCACATACATTATAACAGACTTCCCCATTTCCTGGCCCTGTTATGGTCAGAGGTGTTCTCTTCATCTATCACCTCCTCCACTTGTCAGGCTGGGAGTCCAGGGAAGAGTTAAAGGGAAATCCAGCCCAGAGAAGACACTGAACCCACAGGTATGCTTTAGTTGTGAGTCTCCCCAAAAGCCTAGCGAAGGAAGCCTTGCTTTCCCAAAGACCTTTCCAGACAGGCTTTGGACTGGGTCACCGATACAGGTGAGCACCCACCTCCTCACACCCCCAACCACCAGTCCTTTGAAGTGAGGCTTATCTTTCCAAAAAGCGCAGGGATTCCTCCTGTGTTAGACACTGCTTTCCTTGTGTGTCTGCACACAGTGGGCCTCTTCTTTCCCTTTCTGCAGGGTATAGCCGTGGACACCACCTTTCTTGAAATGCTGTTCTGTTAAACTTCTAGAATCCCTTTCTTGGCTCCATTCCTCATTCCCTGAGCTTTGCGCCTTGGACACATCTCCAGAGCAGGAGTTCTACACTTAGCCACATCTCCAGTCCTCTTTGTTTTTCTAATTTTTCAAAGAGGTTCTTGCTTTTTGTCCAGGCTGTCCTGGACCACAAGCTTCCTAATTATACTTCCCACATTGCTACTATGACAGGCACAACATGCCTAGTTTTTTGTTGTTGTTTTGGTTGACATGGGCATCTCTTAAACTTTTGCCAAGAGCTTGGTCTTGAATGTTGATCCTCACAAAATCTGCCTCCTAGAGTAACTAGGATGACAAGTTCAAGCCACTGGCTTTTTGTTGTTGTTTTAGATGGAGGTGCCAACATTCTCCTTCAGCTCTTCTTGTTTCTTTCTTTTTTATTATGAAAATACCGTACAGAGGGGTTACAATTACATAGGCAAGATAATGAGTACATTTCTTATCAAGCATTGTTGCCTCCCCCTTTGTTTCCCCTTCCCATACCTTTCCATACCCCCCCCACCAAAGTTGTAAAGTTCGTTTTTCGACATAACAACTTGTACATCTCATTGTTGCAATGGGTCCACCTGTATCCCTATTTAAATGATTTGTTTTTTCCCTTCCC